TCTACCAGTCCCAGGAGGCCGGGAAGCGCCTGGCGTGAGTCTCCTCTGGTGTCCCCCTGCCTGCTGTCCACCCTCTGACCTAATTCCCAGGGCCTGAGGAGCCCCTCCCCCAGCCCGCCCCCGACCTGCCCCGCGCGGGCCTCTCAGGCCGGGGGAAGCTGGCGCGGGGAGGTGGGGTACAGAGAGAACCCGTACGAGGCTGGGGCAGACGGGCAGGGAGCCTCGCGGCCTGTCCCTCTGACTCGGTCCCCTTCCCGGGGCTCCCCCAGCGACGCCATGAAGCTGGGCTTCAGTCGGCCGTGGCCCGAAGCCATGCGGCTCATCACAGGCCAGCCCAACATGTCGGCCGCTGCCTTGATGACCTACTTCAAGCCGCTGCTGGACTGGCTCGTGACCGAGAACAGGCGGCACGGGGAGAAGCTGGGCTGGCCTCAGTACAACTGGATGCCAAACTCAGGTACCGCCACCCACCCCCCTCGGCCCCAGGCCGCCCCGGGGCTCGCTCAGGGCCAGGCCCCCCCAGGTTCAGGCGGGTGGGAGGCCGACCTCCGGGCGGGGGCGGGTGGGAAGCCAGCCCGCGGCCCGCGACCGGCCCAGCGGCCGCTCTCCTTCCTCCCTGCCCAGCTCGCTCGGAAGGCTCCTTCCTGGGCTCCGGCCGTGTCAGCTTCCTGGGCCTGAACCTGGAGGAGCAGCAGGCCCGCGTGGGCCAGTGGGTGCTGCTCTTCCTGGGCGTCGCCCTGCTGGTGGCCACCCTGGGCCTCGCCCACCGGCTCTTCAGCATCCGCCACCACAGCCTCCACCAGCCCCACCGCGGGCCCCAGTTTGGCTCCGAGGTGGAGCTCAGACACTCCTGAGATGAGGGCTGGGCGGGCCTGCCGGGGAATGCGCCACCGGGAGACGCAGGGACCGGGAAGGGCCTGGGGGTGGGCCGAGGACCCACCACTGCTCTCACGGCTCACCCCAGCCCTCCGCCCCCTCCCCCTCCCGCCCCTCCCGCCCCTCCTCCAGTCCTCTGGACCACGAACCACCTTGGTCCCCTGGCCCCTGGGGACCAGGCCTCCTAACATGGAACCCCCTCCCCATCTCTCTCTGAATTCAATTAAAGGTCCTACCCTCCCCATCTGTGTCCATGTCCCTCACAGGGAAGCCAGGGACGGGGGAAGCCCTCTCGCCTCCTGACAGTCAAGGGGTCACTTCTCGGGGGTCTTCATCCTCCTCCAAGAAGAGGCTGGAAAATACCCAGAGCTCTGGCCCCAGCACCCCCCAGCGCCCATACCAGTCTCCCCTTCAGCCGGGGCAGCTGGCCCCTGTCCTGCCATGGCAGGCAGCCCCTGTCAGGCCTGGACACCAACCCAGGAGGGCTCTAGGCAGCAAAGAGGAAGCAGACATTCTGGGCTTCTGGAGCCCTGCCCCAGCTGTTCCCATAAATGGCCAAGTCCCCCAGATGGAAGGCTCCTGGCTGCCCTCTGGTTCACTCGGGAGGGCGCCTTTCATGCTGAGGCTATAGGACTGGCCAAGTGGCCCCGGCGTCACCTCAGGCGCCTGCCTGCCCCAGTTCCATTTCCACTCGAAACAGTGGACAGAGCCGCCAGAGTATTGCCCACAGGGCCCGGCGTCAGGACCCTTCACCCCAGCTAGGCAGTAGCTGGTGCCCACGCAGGGACTGACTGCTAGGGGATACCCCTGCCCATCCCCCCAGCACATGCCCTCATCCTGAGCCTTCCTTGGAAGGCCACCATGGGTTTGAGGGAGTATCATTTTGAGAGACATTTAAAAATCTCTTATCTACATGTTTATTGTAGAAAATCTAGAAAACACAGAATAGTATAAAGAAAATAAAAGCCCTTTACGTCAACACAGAGATAAGCACTGTTGACGTTTGGTGTATATCTTTCCAGCCTTTTTTTCTCAGCACATATTTTAAGTGGGGTCACACTGTATTTACAGTTGTGTAACCTTTTTTCCAGTTAACATGACTAGACCTATTTTTTTAGATATTTAAATGCCAAACCTAGAAACTGGCCAAAGTCTGGCCGCCTCTGTGAAGACCCTCGGCCTTTAGCCTCTTCTCGGTTTTGCTGATGACTTGGCCCAGCCCCTAGGATCTGTCCCCCAACATCCTTTAGTCCACAGCTTTTGCCCACCCCCCCAGTCTCCAGCTGCCATTGTGTCTGATTGTGTGTGTGTGTGTCTGTGATTGTGTGTGTGTGTGTCTGTGTGTGTATGTTGTACATAGACTTAATTGTACAGGCCTGTTCCATGGGGCAGGACGTGGAGTTGAGGTATTTTGGATTTGCAAGAGGGTGGAAGTTTATGATTACTTAGAACAATGGAATCTATAAACATAGCCTCTAAATAGTTCCAAGCCTTCTACCACCAAAGACTTCTGTAATTACCCCCTCCCCAGCCTGATGTTTCAAAAGCTGTTTGCTAGACGAAGGTCACTGCCACATCACCCCTTTCCTATCTTTATGAACGGCATAGGTTCCTGCTGCCTGTCAGAGCTGTGGGCAGCGTGAGAGCAGCAGCATTCAACACCCAAAGGTCTGAGGTGCAAAGAAGACTTAACAGCCTTATCCTCTAGGCCTTTTGAGATATTAAAACTGTTCAGACTCCTGTTTCTGCCTCTTCGGATGAGCGAGGAGGGGCCGTGTCTACCTGGGAGGTGGCCTAGGGAAGAGGAGGTGGTGACAACAGGAAGAGGGGCCGTTCCAGCATTTTCTCCCAGTGGCCTGAAGGCTGAGCCCTGCCCTGCGCTGCCCGTCAAGCAGTCATTTCTCAGTGACAGCTCTGACGCACTCAGGCCAGGGGTGATGGTGGTTTCTCTGATCTCCCCACCCTGCCCCCAGCTGCTCACTCTGGCTCTCATGAGTGAGTCCAGTGGCTTTGGATTAGGCCTGAGTCAAATCCCACCTCTGCACTTACCACCTATGTGACCTTAAGTGATTTACTTCCATTTTCTGAGCCTCCATTTTCACACGTGTGAGATGGTTCTTATGATGCTGCTTATAATTATAATGGTTCTTATGACGCTGCCTCATGATTGCTGCAGTTGATCGAATGAGATAATACAAATTCCCGGTACCTAGTTTCCTCTCTTTGTAGTGACTGCATCATCTCCTGATAAAGATTGCTTCATATCTGCCTCCCACTTCAAACGTCCCCTCGAGTCGCGAACTGGAGGGCTGGAAGGGCAAGCCCCTCACTAGAGAGGCAGAGAAAGTCTTCCAGAGCAGCTCACTGCCAGCTGGATAGACGTTTCTCATGATTCCTCCGTGCACCATCGGATGCTCTCTCCCCGGGAGTGCAGTGAGCTTGTTCACTTCAGGGACTCGGCTTCCATCAGTTCTCCAGACGCTCAGCCATCATCTCCTCGTCCTTTTCAGTCTCCTCTTTGGGACTCCTGCCAGACCCAGCTTGGAGCTTCCTACTTTGTCCTCTGTGTCTCCTCATTCCCACTCGTATTTCTCATCTCTTTTTTTGTCCTGTGCTCCAAGCGATTTTCCCCAGCTGTGTCTTAGTCTGTGCATCGAGATTACTGTTTTTCCAATTTAATAACTATATTTTTTATTTTTGCATCTCTGTTACTTTCAAACCTACTGTGTTTCCACAAAAGTCTATCCTTGCTTCACAGATCCTGTTCCTTCTCTCATCCCTTCAAAGACCTTTTTTTTAAACCGTTGTAACATATACATAACATTTACCATTTTAACCTTTTTTTTTTTAAATTTATTTTTGGCTGCATTGGGTCTTCGTTGTTGTGCTGTGCAGGCTTTCTCTAGTTGTGGCGAGTGGGGGCTACTCTGTGTTGCGGAGCACGGGCTCTAGGCACGCGGGCTTCAGTAGTTGTGGCGCACAGGCTTAGTTGCTCCGCGGCATGTGGGATCTTCCTGGACCAGGGCTCGAACCCACGTCGCCTGCGTTGGCAGGCGGATTCTTAACCACTGCGCCACCAGGGAAGTCCCATTAACCATTTTTAAGTGTACAGTTAAAAATGGCATTGAGTATATTCAATTGTTGTGCAACCATCACCATATCTGTTCAAGTCTCTGCTTTGACTTCTTTTGGGTATACACCCCAAATTGAAATTCCTGGATCATATGGTAATTCTACGCTGTTTTCCACAGTGCCTGAGCCATTTTATAGTCCCACCAGCAGTGCACAAGGGTTCCAGTTTCTGTACGTGTTGGCCATCACTTGATGTTTTCTGGGGTTTTTTGTTTGTTTCTTTGTAATATCCATCCTAGTGGTATCTCATGGTTTTGATTTGTATTTCCCTAATGATTAGTGATATTGAGAATCGTTTCAAGTGCTTATTATCCATTTATATATCATCTTTAGAGAGATGTCCATTCAAGTCCTTTGCCCATGTTTGAACTGGGTTGTTTGTTCACTGCTGAGTTTGGGGAGCTCTTCATATATTCTGGATACTAATCACTTATCAGGTCTATGATTCGCAAATATTTTCTCCAGTTCTGTAGCTTGCCTTTTTACTCTGTTGTTAGTGTCCTTTGATGTGCAAAAACTCTTAACTTTAATGAGGTCCAACTTGTCTGTTTTTTTCTTTTGTTGCCTGAGCTTTTGGTATCATATCCAAGAAATCATTGCCAAATCCAATGTCATGAAGTTTTCCCCTGTGATTTCGTCAAAGAGTTTTATAGTCTTAGTTCTTATGTTTACGTCTGTAATCCATTTTGAGTTAATTTTTGTAGATGGTGTAAGACCCAGACTTTAAGTCCCTTTCAGATTGCTCTAACACCTGCTCTTCCTCAGGTGTGGTCTAATCCATGCCTGTGTCTGTAGTTTAGTACAGACTCTGGAGTCAAACTATGTGGATTTGAGTCCCACCTGCACTATTTGCTAGCTATGTAACTATGAGCAAGTTTCTCAACCTCTTTGTGCCCATTTTCCTCATCTGTAAACTGGGGGAGTTGATCACAGTACCTACCTCATGGGTTTGTTGTGAGGATTCATGTCCTGAAAGCCCTCAAAGTGTCCCTCGCCCCTGGAAAGTGCTCAGTGGGGGCTGGCGATCATTATTAACACCGACTGCATTGGACTTCCTCTTTTACGTGGAAATCTTGACCTGTGAGCCATCTTCAGTGGGACAGCCTTCTGCAGGGGGACCCTTCCCATGCAGCACCAGGTTGTGAAGATGTCCTCCGGGTCGGTTTCATGGTTGCTTCATGGTTGCTTCTTGCAGGGCTCCCTTAGAAAAGAAGCCATCTGCTGGCTCCCTTGATGTAGGCAGTACTTCTGAATAGACTTTTTTTTTCCAAAGAAGACATGGATGGCCAAAAGTACATGAAAATGTGCACAACATCACTAATCATCACTAATCATGAAAATGCAAGTCAAAACCACAGTGAGATATCACCTCACACCTCTGAGAATGGCTATTATCAAAAAGACAAGAAATAAGTGTGGGCAAGGATATGAAGAAAAAGAAACCCTTGTGCACTGTTGGTGGGAATGTAAATTGGTGCAGCCACTTGGAAAACAGTATGGAGGTTCCTCAAAAAATTAAAAACAGAGTTACCATATGATACAGCAATTCCACTTCGGGTATGTATCCAAAGGAAATGAAACCAGTATCTTGACATCTGTACCCCCATGTTCATTGCAGCATTATTTACAATAGCCAAGATACGGAAACAACCTGAGTGTTCATTGATGGACACTGAAAATGTAATACACACACACACACACACACACACACACACACACACGAATACTATTTAGCCATGTAAAAGAAGGCAATCTTGCCATTTACAACAACATGAATGGAACTTCAGAGCATTATGCTAAGTGAAAGAGGTCAGACAAAGGCAAATACTGTATGATCTCACTTATA